CCCACGCCGTGAGCAGTTGCAGCAAGCGGAACTGCCTGACAAGCTCCACATCAAGCAGCTTGGTGTTATTGACTGGCGCAGTCGGCACACAGCTGATCTGGAGAGGGTGCACGGTGATATTGGGGCGCCCATGCGTCTTGCACTCCCATACCGGCAACGTGAGCCTGCCCACCACGCCGAGCGGCCCATAAAACACAGCTGCCTGGCTGCCCGTCTTGTGCAACTCACAGCAGCTGCCATTTTCTGCTGCTAAGTGGCAAGGAAGCGGCTCCATGCTGGCCAGCTGGGCTTGCCGCTGCTGGAGCTGCTGCTGGCGCTCCTGCCGCTGCTGCGCCGCCCGGCCCGGCAGAGAGGCCAAGAAGGCATCCACGTCCGCTCCGAGCCGAGCCTCCCAGTGATCACGTTTGCGTCCTTGCCGGTCGCCCCAGCCTAAGAAGCCGCTGGGTGCTCGCTCATCCTCGTTGTCATCCCTCTCACCCCGCCGCCTGGCCTGCCCTGGCACATTGAAGGGAGCTTGTTGTCCTGGTCTACTTGCACGGGATCTTTTTGGCTGTGGCCCGTCTAGAGGCCTGGGGGCCGTGGTCTTGCTAACCACCTTCACCCTAAAGTGGTGGCTCATGTCCTAGAAAGCATATTACGGTTGCTGGGATGCCAACAGAACAAACGGGAGGGAGAATGATGCATGATTGAGGATGATGTCCCCAATGACCCTCCAGGTGGGGGGCCATCATGCCCATCATGGGGCACATCCTTACCGGGAGGCCTACCTGGGAATATCAGGTAGGCCCATTGCTCGGCCAATTTCCATCTGGAAATTCCCACGCAACCAAAACTTTTGCCCCCGACCTCACACTGCGCTATGAAGGAGGTGCTGCTGGTCATCGACATGCAGGTGTGAGCGCTCTCCATGTCGAAGCCGGCTGCTGTGCCGCTGCCTGCGCTGCCGGCCCGGCGCCGCCGCCGCGGCCGCCGCTTCCGCCTGACGCCACCCTTTTACTCTTTTGTTATAGTTTACATGTTCTCGCACTACCGCAGAACGACTTTTGCCTGCCGGATGCGGTGCTGTGCGTCAAGGGTGCCATGGCCTGCCTGCCTGCCGTGATCGCGGCGGTGGAGCTAGCACGCCGCAAGGCTGTGGAGATCATTTGGGTGATTCGGGAGCATGACCCGTCAGGTCGGGCCCCCCTTTTTTGCACCTGTCGGCCTGCTCAAGATCTCAACAATTCATCTGCCAAATGCACCTTGCAGGGATTGATGTGGAGCTGTTCCGAGAGCCCATGTTCAGGCTGGGGAGGAGCTCCACGGTTAGGGGAACGCCAGGTGGGCCTGCCTGACTGTCCGACTCTGAGGGCCTGTGCCCTCTGGTGCCGTGCCTGCCCAGCTGCCAGGCCTCGCCCTCGCAGGAGCGGAGCTGGTAGCGGGGCTGGCGGTGCGTCCCGGCGAGCGGATCGTCATCAAGAGGAGGTTCAGCGCTTTCTTTGACACCGAGCTGGATAGAGTATGCAGGCGGATGGGAGTGGGGCGCGTGGTGATCTGTGGGGTTCAGGCGAGTGCAGAAAGCAGGGGCGCTACAGGTCTTGGGGCTCGCGTTGCGGGTCTTGGGGCTGACGCTGTGTTCCCAGGCAGCTCGCCGCGCACACTGCTCAACCGCCCCAGAGCACCTCTCTCTCGCGCCACCGCTCGCTGCTCCCCGCAGACACCCAATTGCATCCGTGGCACCGCTTGGGACGCGATCGCGCTGGACTACCCGCAAGTCACGGTGCTGTCGGATGCCACAGCTTCGTCCACCGACGAGGTGCAGCAGGCCAACTTGTACGACTTGCGGGCGGTGTCCGTCGACACTCCAACCGTGGCAGAGTGGGCAGCACAGCTGGGCGATGTGCATGATTGAACGGCAAACCAGCAACAAGAAAAGAACAAAATTGCCTTCATACGGATTGCGTGTAGGATTGGTCTTCATTGTGTGTAACGTCCTGGTTATTGAGTTTCATTGCCACCGCAGCGAGCAGCCATGGCCGCAAAGTCCTCCTTCTGGAGTTCCGACGCCTGCGCTGGGTGGTGGGGCAAGCATGGGAAGGGGGCGTGGGGTGGGAACATTCTGCTGTCTTGCAAGCGCCCCCAGCCCGGCCACAGAGTACCCGATAGAAGTAGAGAAGCTTGTCCTCTTTGTGTCTCTCATCGTAAACACTGTCAGGGTGTATTCCATAAGGTGGAAGCGCAAGGTTTATCAAGAAGTAGGCTCCCGTGCGGATGTCCACATTTGCACTCGAGCGGTAGCTGCCGATCAGCAGATACTTCACCCCTGAGAAGGCCAGATTTTTCAGGGAAGCCACGACTCGGCGGCAGGGCAGGTGCTGCAGCGCGTCGCGCGTCAGAGCCAAATCGTAGCCACTGCCAGGCACCGCCTGAGTCGACATGTCCAGAACTCCAAAACTCCAGTTTGGCTGGCTGGCAAATGCCTCCTTGTTTCTCGCTATCACCATCCGGGCAACATCGAGGCCTAGGTAGCGGAAACCCGGACGGATGGCCTGTAGCTCTCCCAGCAGTGATGGCATCCATGCCATTGCCCCACATGGGACATCAACCATGGACGTAACATCAGCATGACTAAGCACGAAATCCCTGATAACGGCACGAGTTCCGACTGTCGCGTTCGGCAAGGATCCAGGCCCGCTTCCATTGCCATCTGTTCCCCAAAAATGGTCTGCAGTGCGTGAAAATGGGGGACTTCAGTGAGGGGCAAAACAAGTTTGTTGTAGCAAATAGGCGGCCCTCATTTCAGCTGGCAGTCACCCACAGCAACTAGAAGTATCACTACACGTGTCGGGCCACTGCGGTCGGGTGTTGAGTGTCTGTTGCTGTTTTTGGGGGGATCCACGAAGGCATTTTTGTACCTACCTGAATAAATGCGCTCAAAAGCGTCCTGCACTTCGTTCATGGGCTTCTCAAGCTGCGCCGCGGCCGCCGCCGCCCCAAAACCGCTATCTGCCTCTAGAGGGTATCGCTTTCCCGACAGACGCATCTGCACCTTTTGTAGGCAAAACGTCAAGCCCAAGAGCACTGCTGCGGCGAGTATGAACAGGCGTCGGAGCTTGGCACTCCGAGAAGAAACATGGCTCGCAGGGGGTCGTCGAATCAGCATGCTGGAGGATGTGGTTCGAGAATGGTCGAGGTACAGGCAACCAGCGTGATCCCTGTGTACCACCGTGCTGCTGGTGTACTTCGAGCGTGCCGCCGCCGGCGCCACCAGCATTTTTCCCAGCTTGCCATACGGGGGGAGGCAGAGTGATTGATTACATGACAATAATACCGTAATCCAACGTTTCCTGAAGCATGGAGTCCTAGCTCCTGCTCTTGACCACTGCAAACACTACCCCCGCCAACGTTCCGACCAGTATGGACGCCATGTTTGGCAGCGTCCAGGGCACGTTGAAGGCCAGCAGGCCAATGATGGCCAGCGGCACCTTGTTCAAGCTGCCAACCAGCGAAAAGATGCTGGGCGTCGTGCTGCTCAGGAAGGAGAGGGAGGCAAAGCTGCAGGAGCCGGCGCAAGGGAGCAAACAGTGTCGTGCACATGAGTATGACGGCAACGGTGCGGCGACCACCACTGTACACCCATCCCCACCTGACTGCAAAGCCTATCAACCCGCTGAAGCCCGCCACCAGCAAAAAGGTGGTGTTGTGCAGATCGGGCTCTTGCCACACCGTCTGCGCCTCGCCCGTTGCTGCCATGATCAGGAGTAGGAATGGGAGGCTGAGGAGGTTGTTGTAGAACACCTGGAGGGAGCAGCGGGCAGCGAGCGGTGGACGACCTGGGCAGGAGCAGGCCGCCTCAGGGAAAAGACGCACCATGGAGAACTCGCCCAGCTTCTTGCCATCGCTGGTGTGCTTGGCCACGCGGTCCATTGCACCGCGCATGTACAACGCATAGCCAGCCGTGAACATGCAGTTTATGATCTGCCAGAGGTAGCCCAGGGCGTCGAAGACCAGATCAGTGGCGGCGCCGCAGATGGCGGCCAGCAGCATCAGCGCCACGCAGCCCCACACATTCAGTTTGTATGTGCGGTTGTACAGCAGATAGTCGCCGCCGAGCACAAACAGGTTTGTCAGCTGCTTCAGCACTGCAAGCATGGCCATCGCGGTTTTTGCTGCGGGCGGCTGCAGTCAGCAACCGCTCACACGCGGCCTCACCTGTGACCATGCCCACATTCAGGCTGCGCAGCGCCCAGAAGCTGGTTCCAATCATGCCCAAAAACACCAGGTTGACGGGCAGCCAAATCTTGATGATGTGGCTGTTTAAGGGTTCCAATTTGACAATTCCCGCCATGGAACAGATCCGCACCGCCATCACGCTCAGCAGACACTGGGAGAAGAGCAGCGCGTTGGCCGACTTGAATTGGAAGGACGACAGCGCCACCTTGTTTAGCAGGATCTGCGGGGGGAGGAGGGCGCGTAAAACAATATGCAGGAAGCGGTGGCGGGCGGGTTGGTGGCGGACCCTGCTGCAGCCGGCTGCACGCAGGTCGCTCGAACCACCGCAACGTGCAAGAGCAACACGCGATGGGTGCAAGGGGGGTAGAGCGGAGCCAGAAGGCCCCGCTCTCCCCGACTTTCGCAAGATAGTCCTCCGAGACCTCTCTGAACTCACGAGCGCTGTACTAGATGTGCAGTAACCAGCACTGGTGTAGACGGCACGGTTCAGCCCCAGGCCGTGAGGTTGCCCCCCTGGGGAGAGCAGGGGACTGCTCTCTACCTCAGCTGGCTGGCTTGTACCCATTTCGGGAACCGAGCGAAGGAACAGGAAGGATGAACAGGAGCCTTTTGGGTTTTGGTGCCGCGCTGACATGGCAGCGCCGCACACAGCAGGCAGCCAGCACCAAGCTGTCGGCAGCAGCTCTTGGCCTCGCGCATTCCTGCAATGCTACCCCCAGCTTTCGAACACCCTAAATCAGCGTAGACAGAGACACTGACATGGCGGCGCCGCAAGAAGAGGAGCGGGAAGCACGTTCAGACGACGATGATTGGGCTCGGCAGGGGCATTTTGGCAGCCCAAGCTCACATGGGGTCCAAGAGGACCAACCGGCACGTCGACTGGCTCGAACTTTCAACAACAAGGAGCTGCTCTTCACTTCCTCCTTTGAATATGTTAGTGCAATTCGGCCCTGCTGGTGTCGGCTTGCCATGCCAGGTCCCCCATGGCATGTCACCTGCAATGATGCAGGCGCGGCACCAGCACATCGGCAACCTGGTCTTCCTCCTGCGCCACTATGCGGCCACCAGAGACTGGACCCGCCTTGCTGGCTTGGTGGCCACACTGATGGCCTGTGACGTAGGGCCTGCCACCATGCTGCCTGTGCCGCATCTGTTGCCTGCATGATCCAGTAAGGGGTTGCCTGCTTCTTTCAGGTCTCTGCCTTTTGTTTGTTTACAGCGGCCTGAGAACCTGAGCGACGTGTGGATGTTTCGGCACCCCGACAGCCGCGCGCGCCTGGCCGAGGCGTTGGGAACAGGTGCGGACAGGCAGGTATCATCCCCACCGCCAGCACGACACATACACACACCACTCACCTACCCACCAACATACACAACTGGTGCTGTGTTATGTGGTATGCGCAGGGTGGCTGCTGCTGAGCCAGCATCCTGGCGTGCTAAGCTACGAGCAGTCTCTGCGGTATTTGAAGCAATGGGCGGCCTACCAGGTGGGATCGATTGTGCAGGATAACCCAACTTGCCAGAAAGTCGAGTCTGGCCATCCACAGAACCGGTTCAACGCAGCTGCCTCATCTGCCCCCCTGCTGTGCTCACCGCCTTGCAGCTGGCACCAGCGGGCAAAGAGACGGTTTATCTGAAGCTTGCACAGTTCAGCAAGGAACAGGTGCAACATGCTGCACACCGGTTAAAACTATTCTACTCGATGGCTGTGACGGTTTCCTCCAAGTGTGACAATGCACGCGCAAATTTCTGCAGGGGCACGCCACAGACGCGTGGGACTTGCTGAGCACACAGACCTTCTCCACAGCCCCCGCCGAGGGGGAGCGGAGGGCACTCATGGCCAGCATCAGGGCAGATGCCTGGGCAGAGGTGCGCTAAACCATTAGTTGCTCTGCTTTTTCCTGCTGTTATCCTGCGTGTAGCTGCGCCTTGTCTTCATACGTTTTCCACCATCTGCCTGGGGTCCTCTTGCTGCGCTGCAGACAATGCGTGGAGGCGCAGACCTCCTGCCAGGCCCCCCACAGCCCTTGGGCAGCCCCAACAAGCATCGCCGCAGCGTGCCACCGCACCCTGGTGGTTGGCAGCCCTGGCGGCATGATGCACACGCATGGGCGCGCAGCGGCAGAATGGCCAAGGAGCTGCACCAGGATGCGGTGGAGTGCTGCAAGGTGGATTGAGCGGGTGGTGCTAGCAGAGCGGTGGGTGGGATTGGTGGATAGTCAGTGAAGAGCATGTATTGGATTGCAGGCAGTGACAGGATTCTTAGTCACACCTGGTTGTGCAGGGAGTGCTTGAGCAGCAGCCTGAAGGAAGCCATATGGCACACGTGCTGGCTCAGCTGCAGCTGGCAGCAGGCGGCGCAACCAGTGAGTTTTACGGTGCATATGTTTGCCGGGTGCTGATTGCAACCGTATGGCATGCCAATCGCATCATCGGGCTACCCTCCTTTTGCCGATGCAGACGCTCTGGCCACAGTGTCCTTGCTGCGGCACCAAGTTCCCTTGAACACTGACTTTGATGGCATTGTGGCGCTGTTACTGGTTGGCCAGTCAACCCAAGACGTGCAGCCGCAGGAGCAACAAGGGCAGCAGACTGCAGCTGCCCTGACTCGGGAGGTTGCTTCAGAGGCCGCAGACTGCTGCTGCCAGCTGCTGGCGGCCAACCCCTCGTGCCATGGAGCAGCACTGACGCTGCTTGCTCTGCATGAGCAGCAGCCGCTGCCACTTGCACAGGTGGCTGGAGGGTGTAGCTCCTACCTTGATGCCCAGCCGCCTTCGTGGCTCCCCCCGCTTGTGGAGCTAAGAGGTGCAGTGCATTGCAGCTGGCTTGCGTAAGTCATTTCCATTTGGTCGCTTTGCGATTGAATTGTAACTCCCTGCTTGTTCTGTTCACGCTGTTTGCAGTATGGCAGCACCTGTCGAGCGCCCTCATCCAGGTCGCAGCAGCAGTTGTGAGACAGCAGCAGCTGCTTCACGACCTGCAGCAGCGGCGGCAGGCAATGTTGCCCCAGACTTTGCGGGAGGCGCAGTTGCACCAGACCGAGACGAGTTGCAGACGAACGCATCAGCGGCTGCAGGAGTTGACTGCAGCTGCTGAAGAGGTGCAGGGCTGCCTACAGGACGCGCTGAGAGTGTATCGGGAGTGCTGCTTGGTCATGGAGGTGGGTGGTTGCACACTTGCATGGTCTAGGTAAGTGGAGACAGGTAGCCAAACAGCTTCGTGACTGCTGCTTGAGGCGGCGCCTTACTCTTACAGTCGGTCCACCGCTTGCCAACACTGTATGACACATGATCCTGCATGTTGCAGGGACGATTATGGTGGAGGGATGCACACCTGCTGTGCCAGCCGGCCGCCACGGTGTTGGCCTCTCTGCGCAGTGGAGCTGCCAGCCCTGCAGCTTTGATGGCATTAGCAGCAGTGCATGCGTTTCTGCACCCCTTATGGCAGCAACGAACAGTGAATGAGTGGCGGTAAGGACTTGTCATCACCACGTCGCTGCTGCCAATGCTGTATTTGCGCAAGCTATGGATGTTACGCCTTCAATCGACAATTGTGCCCAGAACCTTACGCATCTGTGCAGGACCACCGGGTGCACCAGCACGCTACCTCATGCCATGCAGAACCTGACGACACGCCACACAGCTGCGGCACTGGCACAGGCAGGGTACATGCAGGAGGCGGGGGCGCTGCGAGCGGCTGCCAAGCTGTGCAGGCGGGCAGCGGTGGCCAGGAGCGAGCGGCACGAGGCTACAAGCAGCGGCGCGGTGGCATCGCTATTGTCACTACCAAAGGTATGTGTGACAATGCTGTTTCCCTCTGGACTGACCCCAGACTTCCCGAATCTCTGATGGAACAGGTGCACTTGCCCTTTCCTCTTGCTGTCCATGCAGCCCTCAGCTGGAGGACTGCCCGCAACACAGGGCGTTCTGCAGCCACTGTCTGGCCAGGCGGCCTCACTCCCGCCACAATGGTGGGCTGGCTTTCCACAGGAGTTTCAGGAGGTGCAGCCAGCAACCGCACCCGAGAACGAAGCATCAGGCAGTGTTGCAGGGCGCCAGACGGATGCAAGAGCAAGACTGCAGCAGGGGTTCCCAAAGAGTATGCAGCAGCATGGCAGTCGCAGCATTTTGAAGGGCTCTCTGCAGGAGCGGCAGCAGTCGCCACCGCGTGCTGAACCCACGGCAGGCAGGCTGGGACGCCGGGTGCAGTTCCAGCTGCCAGGCTCTCTCCCTTATGCGGCCAGCCAGCCTCCATAGCTGGCGGTAGTTGAAGCAATCTTTCACCAACTGGCTCAAGAGGCAGCACGGTCTTCATGCAGAATCGACTGCCAGAGCTGCATTTTAGTGTAAGTTCGACGTTGTTGATGTGTAAAGTACAGCTGATGGCGCAGTGCAGTGGTGCCGGATCAAATGTCTGAAAGGAAGTCAAAGCGTGCAAGAATGAGCCCCTTCATCTTCTCTGCCTCGCGCTCCGCCCGCTGCGCCTGCTTGATGGCCGCCTCGGTGACCTGCACCACATCAGGGTGGACGCGTCACGAGTGGAGAGCGGAGCCACAGTAATGCGATAGGCAAACTCACCAACTCCAGGCCTGGCGGCGGCTCTCTTGCTGCATCCAGCTGCCCCAGCAATACGACGTTCTCGCCCCTGCACAGCCAGATGCACAGGGAGGGCGCGTGCTCTCCATGCTGGACTCGTGTCAGAGCAAACCTCCGAGCTTCGATCAGGCCCATGCATACGGCGTGCAGCTCACCTGACAACATGCAGGCCCAGCGGGATCTCCGAGTACTGCTGCCCCACTATGATGCGCTCCTTGGCGCCTGCGACATTTCGGTCGGCCACAGTCAGGATGCCGGAACTGTAATGTTCATCAGGCAGCTGTTAATGGGTCAGCTGTTTTTCACCCACCTGACAACACCAAGTTGGCAAATTGGTCAAATGAGCACAGCGTGCCTATGATTTTGCGTCCGTCACGCAACTGCAGGGGTGCGGCAGTGGAAGAACAGACCATGACATGCCAATTGGAACACATCAGCTATCTTGCAACACATCAGCCTATCGGCGGGTTCCACAGACTCCGGGCGCACCTGCACCAGGAGCAGCTTGTCCAGCTCCTCCACCAGCGCCAGGCCCGGTGGCGGCACATCCTCTATGCTGGGCGGCAGCGCGATGGGTTCTTCCATTGATGTCCCGCTTTATGAAAAGCCAAGAAAAGGGTAGAGATAGGGAACCACAACGCCTTTTCGGCTAGCAATCGTCCACGACGTGGTGGTGGCTTCGCGAGCTAGCGCACGCCGGTCCCCTCCTGGCGGAGGATGAGGTTCGGGCTACACGACCCGATAACTGGCCGCCGGCAATACAGCGGCGGCGGCGCCGCGTACTGCAGGGCAGCGGCGCGAGCTCCCATCCCAGAGCCACGTCAACGTTCCTCAGGAGCGCCAACTGCGTTTTTTGCCGTGCCTTTTGCCCATCGTTAGCCAATCAAGCCCAATGCGCCGGCCTGCCTTGCAGCTCGCCCAGACCGAATTGCAGGAGAAACCAGCAGCTGCCTGGGCTGGACACAGAGTCGTTGGTGGGCAAAAATCAATGCAGGATGGAGTTGTTCAACATCTGCAATTGGAAATCGCATCATCCCACCATGGCCCGCTTGCGCCCCCGCATGCGCACTGCGATCAGCAGTCAGTTGTCGTGTCAGTGCCTGCAGGCCGGGGACAACGCGGGCAGGACAGCGCCAATACCACTTTGGGAGAGCCCCACCTTCGGCAAATCGGTTGAGAGTGCCGCTCCAGTACTTGGAAGCACGGCGGTAGGACTCCAAGATCTTGTCAAACTGCAAGCAAGTACCAGCCGCCATAATGAGGCCACGTCCACCTGAGGAGGCCTGATTGCACGATCAGCGGCTCCAACCGCCAGCACGTACCATGGCTGCTCCGGCTTCGGCATGGGCACTGGCAAATGCCCGCTCCAGCACATACAGGTCCACCGCCTTGTCCTCTGGGATGGTGGTGTTGTAGCTCAGCCCAAAGTCTATAAGCACCTGGGACAGCCACAGGCAAATGAGGTCGTTCAAACCCATGCAATTGAGCAGGCTGACCCCACGGACAAGAACCCACCAGCTGCTGGTCCGCTTGGCGCAGCATCATGTTGCTGGTGGTCAGGTCCCCGTGCACCAGCCCGCCGTCGTGCAGTTTGGCAATCGCACGTCCCACAGACAGCAGCAGCGTGTCTAGATCTGCAGGGCGGCAGCAGCAGCGGATAGTGGCAGGTCACCCAGACCGTCTGTAGACAGATTGAACGCCTGCCACCTGATCACATGACCCCCATGCCACCCCCAAGAAAACAACATGTGCATGTCTCGCACCTGCCTCTGCCAGGCTGCGCTGCTGCAGCAGCGCTTTGATGCTGTGCCCCTCAACCCGCTCCATGTAGATGCAGCTGGCCACATGGTCCACCAGGTGCAGGACTGCGGTGCCAGCAGGGCAGGGTCTGCAATTGCGCTGCGGCTCCACTGGCCAGGCGCACCGATGACATGCGCCACCAGCTGCCGCCGCACCTGGCGTGCGCACCCCCAGCTTGCGGGCCCGCATCATGCTGCGCACTTCCTGCTTCAGCCGCGAAACGGTGAGCTTGGCGTCCAGCAGCGGGTGCCGATACTGCTTGCTGAACCGTTGCTTGACGATGATGGGCCCGGCATGTAGGCTGCCCTCCCACACCCGCTGCACGTTAGGAGGGGACGCAGGAGCAGCTTCGGCAGGGAGGCAGCAAGCAGGCAACGTTAACATCAATCGCCTGATCACTCACCGCCTCTGCCCCCTGGCTGTGCAGCTTGAACCTGCTGCTGTCAAACTGACTTGGTTGCTGCCGAGCCGCCGGAATGGCGGTCGTCTGGGGTGCTGTCGCCGGTGCCGCCGCCGCCACTGCCAACCCCGACGCGTCCATTGCTGTTGCTGTTATTCTCCCGCAGTTCAGTTCTTGTGGAAACACAGCAACAGGACTAGCCTAGTGCCGGCAATAAACAGGCTCTGCAAGCCTGCAGCACGCTCCTATTAGCTGTGTGCCGGAGTGATTTGGCATGCAACAACGCCGTTAATGTCGACCACCATGCAGCATTCTGCCTGCATGCTGCTGCGATGTATTCCTGTGCTGTTGCTTTCTCGAGGCCCTTTGGCGCATGCCCAAAACTCGCTCGATCGCTTTACTCAACCCCTTTTGTATCGAAATAGTGGAGAGGCAACTGTGCAACCATGGTGAGCACACGTGCATGCGTACACACCGCATGGCTTGGAGTCATTGCTGCAGCTCAGCTGTCGCCTGGCCGAGGTCAGGGCATGTAGCTTGCTGGCCATGCCGCATTGATGGCTTGGGAGGGGCGGGCCACCGGTGATCGCCATCTGCCTCAAAGAGCGCTCACGCACAGCAGCTTCCCGGCTGGGTTGTGTTCCAGCCAGCGCCTGGGAGGGTCACGGTGTTTCCACCTCGCACCGTCTGGCCTGCCCATGTCGCCACCCGCCTGTGTGCCCTTCCCAACCCCTGCTGTGCCCCCGCCCCAGGAGCGCACCTACATCATGATCAAGCCAGACGGCGTGCAGCGCAACCTGATTGCGCCGATCCTGGAGCGCTTCCTGGCCAAGGTACGGGAGTCGCCCAGCACTGCGAGCCGTGCCCAGCACCGAGCTGGGACCGCATGGCAGAGTTGCATCGCTACATGTCCTCTGGATGATCTTGCTGCAGGGCTACATCCTTCGCGGCCTCAAGTTTTTGACGGTCTCCAAGTCGCTGGCGGAGACCCACTATGCGGACCTCAGTTCCAAGCCCTTCTTTGGGGGTGCGCAGCCTGGTCTTCCACATTTTGACCGTTCCCCTGCAATCGATTCACACACCTGCCCCCCCCCCCCCCCCCCCCCCCCCCCCCCCCGCCCCCGCCGCCCCACGCAGCGCTGGTTGAGTACATCACCTCTGGACCGGTGGTGGCCATTGCGCTGGAGGGCAAGGATGTGGTGGCGCAGGTTTGGCGCAGCTGCCGCCCTCTGGCCTGCTTTCTTTGACAAGCAAGGCGTTTGCCAGTGTTCATGTTTTGTTCAGCCAATTCATTTTCTTTTCCAGGGTCGTAAGATCATTGGTGCCACAAATCCGGCTGCTTCTGCTCCCGGCACCATCCGGTGCGTGAGCGCAGCGACTGTTTTGGCTTGGCTGAACAATGTGACCAGATTTTCGTCTTCAGCATGTTCAAAACCAGCCATTTTTGCAACTTTCGTGCAGGGGAGATTTTTGCATTGAAGTCGGACGGAATGTCATCCATGGGTCCGACAGTGTCGAGAGCGCTGAGCGCGAGCTGGGCCTGTGGTTCCCCGAGGGTCTTGTGGACAACACTCCGGTGCTGCTCAGCCAGGTGAAACTCACCGGCAGCTTCTCTTCCGTTTGGTGCAGCTCAGCGAGGTGGTAATGCGAAATAACTATGTGCCTGTTGGTTGCCTTACCCGACTGCCGTTCCATTGGTGCAGATTTACGAGTGATCAGTACGAGTGACCAGCCGGGGGCATCATGAAGGGTCCATGCGAAAGCGCCAGAGAGAGGCTCGCATCGTGGAGCGAGCTGGCAGGTGTTACATGAGCAGTCGTCAGGCACTGGGCAGATGTTCAGAGGGGAAACTGTTGACCTTGTACACATGCCTATGCTTCTGCCGGGGCCTCCGCACAGATCAGTGCAAAGTCGGCCACCAGCGAGATGTGATCCGAGGGCCAGGATGGTGAGGGCAACGCGCAGTGCAGAGTTTGCAGCGGCGGCGGCTGCAGCACGCCCAGAGGCAGGAGACGATAGTCGTGTGCCGCACCGTCAGAGCCGTCCCCTGGGGTGTACCAAATGTAGTCCACACAGCCTATGAACCTGCAGGTGGGGCCCACCAGGGTGGTTCATGCACCCACCGAAAGAGGGATGACAGCAGGCAGCTCGCAGGAATGCTAATCTTACTTGTCATGTACAGTGGTGTACGGTTCCTGTCCCGTCACTACCCTGTATACCGAGTCGATGGTGAGAGGGTGCCGGGCCATCAACGTGCTGCCGTCGCCACCCGCCGCCAAGCGGGCGTCTGCTGCGCTCCACGGCCGCATGCTGTCGCGGCTGTGCTGCTCCAGTGGCGGCGAGTATGGTGGTCCCCGCAGCTGCCGCTGGTACTCTCCGCGGCCAGACAGCGCAGTACTCGCTGCACCCAGCACCAGGGCTGGTGGCTGCCCGGGCCAGGAGGAAGCAGGCGCCTGGCTGGTGACGTTGCTACAGGCGGCGCCCTGCTGCTCCAAGAACGACTGCTGCAATGCTCTCCAATCGTGCCCTCTGGACTCCACCTAAACCAATGCGATGGCGTTCACAGCAAATCAGTGTAATGTTGGGGGGCTATCCAGACCTCCCAGCAACAGGTACCTGTCCAGACATGCGGCGGCGATCGTGTTGGCTCAAGTCCAGCTCGCTCGCCATCAAAAACTGATGCATGGGAGATCCAGCAGTGGAGTTAAAATCACCCATTACCATTGCAGCAGCACGTCGGCCGCACCGCGTTTGCTGCTGCAGGCACAAGCTGTTGACGTGCTCCAGCAGCGTCCGCACTTGCTGCAGCGCAGGAAGAACCCGGCGCCAAGCAGGCTTTCCTGGGGCAGGGGATGGGGGAAGCAACCACGCGCGAGTGGCAGGCAGCAGTACAGACAGTACTAGCAGCAGCAATGTTACCGCTATCTTCAAATCTCCGCGTTTCGGGTTGAACAGAACGTGGGTTTGGGCGCAAACCAGCAGTGGTGGCCCGCCAGGTGCCGCTGCCGAGCCTGCGCCAGCTGGCACAGTTGCATCCTCCACCCAATCCTGTGCCTCGCCTTCGCTGCTGCTGTCGAAGCGCAGGTGGCGACTCTCAGCCTGCCGGCGCTTCTGCCCAGACAGGCTACCAGCACTGCCGTCGCTGCTGGTCTGGCCACTGCTCCCTCTCACCCGCCGCTGGAAGACGAGCAGCTGCGCCACGTTGTCCTTCATGCCCAGGTCCTTGAACCTGAGGAAGCGCTGATCGACTGCAGCTAGGGTGGCAGCCCAGCGCACACGTTTCGTTTGGCTTGCTCAAACGATGGACTTCCATTTCTCCACGTGGGCTGGTTGAAGCCCTGCACACCTGGCTGCATGGCATTGATGCGCCAGAACATGGCCAGCCCGTCGCTCCTGTCCCCTGTGCGCTTTGTGAACACGCCCTCATAACTGCACATGGAGTCGGCAGGCCGACCAGTCATTTTCAGCACGGGTGCCAGCTCGGCAAATGCGTGACGAGTGCCACACATAGAAACCCATCACGCACCCATGCGGCTGCAGCGCGTGCTGAAACTCGGGGAACCTATCGACCTCCTGAAGGCACACAATGTCCGGGCTGTGGTGGAGGATTTCCCTACAGGCATGGCAGAAACAGAACAGTGCGCTCATGCTCTCCAGCAGCAGCCAGTCTCAAGGGGGTTCCGCCATGCCGCCACCTTGCACCTGATTATCAGCCGGCTCCTGAAAGACCACTCCAGCGAGAAGCGTGGGGCTGAAGTGTAAAGCTCTTTGTGCTCCTGGGCCAGGCAGTCCGCCAGCACGTTGTACGACAGCACGCGGAAGCGCCAGCCGCCCTCGTTGCCCCGGATGGCATGGCTGGCCTGCAGCACAGATCAGTACAGGTGTTAGGCGTTGCAAGTCAAGAACGAAACCTGCTCCTTTGCCCTGGGCAAAGCCTGGGTCGTCCAAGGCCGACAGGGACCCACCTGGGACTGGACGTACTGGCGGTGCCCAAATGGCAGCGCTACGTCCTCTCGCTGGTGGGAGAAGCGACAGGCCGAACCAAACCTACACCTGCCTCGCAGGAAGTGGCGGCACAGCTCGGGCACCCGGTGCTTCACGTATGCTGCCTCGGCCATAGGTGTGAGGTATACGCTAGGCAATTCGGTCTCTTTGCACGTTACGCAACCCAAAAGCGAGACAGTTGTCCTCCACTTGTACTTCGTGTCCCGCAACGTAAAATTCACTCGAGCCCCTCCAGCCCTCTCTCTTCACTCCTGAACCTCGTCAGTTCGACCCCCAACTCGAGCACCATGAAGATAGCATGCATTGGTCAGTATTCGCTGCCTGCTTGGGGTTGGTTGGGCCGCGGCCGAGATGGCGGCTTGTTCGCCGTTCACAGCCTCCGGGCCCTGGGGGCATGCATCTGGCAGCAGCAGCAGCGCGGCATTCGCCGCGGGGTGCTGCTGCCAGGAGCGCGGGGGGCAACAGCAGTTGAACTCAGCCGCCCGCCGATCTGGCTGGCCCATGGCCTGCCTTGTCCTCTCAGTTATCAATGACATGCGTGCGCGTGCTTGCTGCCGCCGCTGCTGCCTGCAGGCGCCGGCTATGTGGGTGAGTGGCGTGCCGCCGCCGCCAACGCGCGGCGCGGCGGCAGATTGGCAGACAGCAGCGGCAGTTTGCGTGCCTGCTCTTGCTGCCTGATTGGGCTCCATCACATGCATGTCGGCTTGCGCAGCTTGGTTGTGCAGCCACACACCCTGCTCTCCGTCCACTCTTTGTGATAACCCGCGCAATGCCTGCCTGCCCGTCCCCTCCCCCCTCCTTCACGGCTCCCAGGTGGCCCCACCATGGCCATGGTAAGAGCCTCTCGTGCGGGCAGCTGCTGCTGCTATGCTGCAACCTGCCGGTGGCGGCGCTGCGTCGTGCCTGCCTCCCTGCCTGCCTCTGCCGTCGTGAAAGCGTGTTACCCCTGCCGTCACCGCCTCTGCCCGCTCTTCCCATCTTTCCACTGCAACCCAGATCGCCCTCAAGTGCCCCGAAATCGAGGTGGTGGTCGTGGACATCAACGAGGCGCGCATCGCCGCCTGGAACAGCGACAAGCTGCCCATCTATGAGCCTGGCCTGCTCGAGGTGGTGCAGGAGGCACGAGGACGCAACCTCTTCTTTTCCACTGACGTCAACAAGCACGTGGGGGAGGCAGACATTGTGTTTGTCAGGTGAGTTTTGCACATGGGCATTTAGGCAGATGGTTTGCCTCGCCATGAGTGCAATTTGCTTTGCTGTGGCTTGTGAGGCCGAGTCCTGGCGGGCTTGTCTGTTCCAACACCCCACTATCTTGTTGCAGCGTCAACACCCCCACCAAGACGCGCGGCGTGGGCGCTGGCAAGGCCGCTGACCTGACCTACTGGGAGGGCGCTGCTCGCGTGATTGCCTCCGTTTCAAAGAGCAGCAAGATCATTGTGGAGAAGTCTACTGTGCCCGTCAAGACGGCGGATGCCATTGAGAAGGTGTGCACAGGCAGCTGGTGGACATGCCTGGGTAGGGGTGAGGCCGGCGGCAGGACCTCCCAAATGCCCATGCACCTGCTGGAATCCCCTCGGTAACCCCCCCCCCCCTTTTCACCGTGTAGGTGCTGCGCCGCAACTGCAGCAACCCCAGTGTGCAGTTTGAGATTCTGTCCAACCCTGAGTTCCTGGCAGAGGGCACTGCCATCGAGGACCTCATGGCCCCCGACCGCGTGCTCATTGGCGGCAAGGACACCGAGTCGGGGCGCGCCGCCATCGCCACACTCGCCAGGTGTGTTGGCGCCGTTTCAAGGTGTCTGCTGATCTCAATGTCAGCTGCCTACCAAACCCAACTACTATACCAACCTAACTAACTCATCATGATGGCCCTCCCCTTGCGCAGCGTGTACGAGCACTGGATTACCAAGGATCGCATCCTGTGCACCAACCTATGGTCTGCTGAGCTGTCCAAGCTGACCGCCAACGCATTCCTGGCGCAGCGCATCTCCTCGGTCAACTCCATTTCCGCGCTGTGTGAAGCCACCGGTGGGTGCTGGCAGTGGTGTAGGGGTGGGGGGGAGGGGAGTGCGATGGGCAGCGACGTTGACCTAAGCCTTCCACCGTCCCCTCTCCGTGCAGGCGCGGATGTGCAGCAGGTGTCCCGCTCCATCGGCACTGACTCACGCATCGGCCCCAAGTTCCTGAACGCCTCGGTGGGCTTTGGCGGCAGCTGCTTCCAGAAGGACATCCTCAACCTGGTGTACATCTGTGAGACGGTCGGCCTGCAGCAGGTGGCCGACTACTGGCACCAGGTGCGTTACCTGCTGGGCTTTTCTCAGTATGCTGGGGGTTTTCGACCTCGACTGTTGTTGGTGTTGCTGCCTTGTGGGTTGCGCTCATCCATAGCTGCTTACCCCACCCGCGCGCCTCCCCGCAGGTCATTCTGATGAACGACTTCCAGAAGCAGCGGTTTGTGGAGCGCGTCATCAGCGCCATGTTCAACACCATTTCCAAGAAGAAGATCGCGGTGTTTGGCTTTGCCTTCAAGAAGGACACGGGCGACACACGGGAGACGCCCGCCATCGATGTCTGCCGAGGCCTCATGGCGGATGGCGCCAATGTGGGTGGCATGACTTGAGCTGGCGGGTGCCTGTTGTGCTGCTTGTGCAAGCGTGGGAGGGACGCGCAGTCGGCTGGGCAAGCTTCATGCCATTGCGCCGCTCATTCTCGCTGTAGCCGTGTCACCATGGGCTTGCAGGTGTGTGTGTACGACCCCGAGGTGGAGGACAACCAGATCTACCAGGATCTGGGCACCGAGAAGTTTGAGTGGGACCACCCCAGCCCGCGGTCGGCGCCCATCTCCAAAACAGCCATCGCCATCAGCCATGTGAGTGAGGGTGGTGGGGCTGCTGCAGGCTGTGCATAGCTTGTCGTCCCCAGGGTGGTAGAAGCACAGTCGGAGCCACCCATGCTGCCTGCCGTGCTTGCCCGCTGCGTAGGACCCCATGGAGGCGGCCCGCGATGCGCACGCCATCTGCGTGCTGACCGAGTGGGACCAGTTCAAGAGCTACGACTACCAGGCCATCTACGACAGCATGGTCAAGCCGGCCTTCATCTTTGACGGCCGCAACATCCTGGACCACACCAAGCTGCGGTGGGTTGGCGGGTGGCAGTGTATGAAGTGCAGGCAGACGGAGCGTCATCATCGCCTATCTCCCATTGCACCTGCAGGGATATCGGCTTCATCGTGTACGCGCTCGGCAAGCCGCTGGACCCCTTCCTGCAGAAGCAGTATGGCAAGTTTGCTGCCATGTGTGCTGCGCGCAGTTCAGCATGCTGCGGGGCAGTCAATTGTTGCCGGCTGCCAGTGCGTTCCCATGGGATTGACACGTGCTGGACTGCTTTTTCTTGTGCAGACTGATCGGCCCTCGACCCCAAACTGAGCTACCCGCAGATGGTTTGTTAATTATAGAGTGCTTGCAATCCTTGCCTTCACAATGGTCTGCTCTTGTAACTTATTCAGCATTTGAGAGTTGGAAAACATGGAAGTTATGCATCAGGCACTGACTCCTCCTTGCCTGGACCTGTTGGTCTGTCCGCGTTTGTTATGATTCCAGGGCGGTGTGTTCAGGAGCCGACAAAAACACACAACCTGGGTTGCCTCATGCAAACGTCGCCACCTGAACAAGTGCAAAATCTGAACGAGGGTGTGCCGTGATACCTGCAGCAAGCCAAAGCCATGCTTCTGTTGATAAACCAGATTCTAGCATTTTGTAGGTTCTGCATAGTGCCACCCATATACGGGTAACACACAGATGTCAACCCAATTGAAGTAGTGGGTCAACAACAATCCAAACAGCCTATCCTCACAGCGCCTGATACCCACCCACTCAGTGATCATTCGTCATATAGTGCGAGCTGAAAGAGACGATGCCATGTTCAAGGTGATGCTATGCGCTCTTGCGCCTGCGCCTGTAGCGGCTTGAGAGCCGGTTTGAGCGTGAGGTAAAAATTGGCGTCTCGCCAGGAGGACTGGGACCTTTCGGCCAGGCTGTCAAAGCTGCTGGGCGGCTGTATGGGTGAGTCAAACCCCTGATTTCCAAAGCGCAATTCGTAACCCATCGAGGTGTACTGCAGGAAGAGCAGCTTTGACGGGTAGCGTCCGGTCAAAGCTGGCAGGCGAGCACCAGGAACGTCTTAAGCGTAGAGTGGTACCACCAATGCTCACCAGCTCAAACATGTCGTTGGACGTGGCCCCGCTTGCAGCTGCGAGGGCAGGCCCGTTGATCTGTAGTTATGGGGTGGAGCGGGCACGTCCATGAGCAGGAGCTCCTGAGATGCCGAGGTGCCTGGCTTGCTGCTGCACACTCGTTTGCACCTCTTCCCCTTTACCTCTGCTAGAATGTACTCGGGGCGAACTGTGGACATGAAGCATGCGCCACCACCATAAGCCTGCAGCAGGGCAGGGGCCAGCGAAAAAGTGGCGAGGTGCTTGGACGGGTAGAAAATCTACCTCTTTTCCTCGACACAGATATGTGCACACCAAACACATTGGCCTCTGCTATGCAGAGGTGCCGCAGACCTTGCTTTCGTACCCCTCCACGTCAATCTTCATTACCCCGGCCTGGCCGGCGAGCGCCTTTGCAGCGTCGCCCAGCAAGTCGTCGAGGCGAGCCATCTCGAATTCCCCCACCTTGACCTTTCTGCGCAAAGGTACAGGCAGCAGCTGCATCTCGGTTCCGCCTTTGCTTGGGCTTGGCTTCATTCAGGTGCAAGCCACGTGTGCTCGGCAGTTGCTGAGGTCGTTGCAGGTAGGTGCACATCTCACCTGCCCATGGTCGCGTTACGGGCATCCGCCCCGCAACCTGTGTTCCCGTTGCCGCTGTTGGCAGGGTCAACATAGAAGCTGCACTTTGAGGGCGAATCGCTCAGCCCCTGCAAGCAAGCATGCCACACAAGGGTGGGTGCGGTGCGCACACAGTGGTCAATGCAATAATAGGGTGTAACTGTCTCCCCCACCTTTGTGAACAATAAATATCTCTTCTGCATGTCTGGATTCTCGCATAGTGTGCGCCGGATGCAGGCAATGTTCTTGTCCATTGGCTCAAAGCCGATCACTTGGTACCCCATTGCCGCTGCGACCAAGCCGTGCCAGCCCACGTTGGCACCGACATCCAACAGATATACTTCCGAAGCAGCCAGCCCCCTGCTCTGCAAAAAAAAAACAATGTATGAGACACGCACAAGCGGGCGCGCGGCAAGCGAGGAGCGCATGCAGGCTATACATGCCTGCTGGAAAGCTGCCAGCTTGGTCAACATCTGTCCCGTCTCAAAGGGCTCCCACCCGCCCAGGTCGTTTATGAATCCCGATACGAAATCGTGGTCATCGTATACCCACATGTGGAACGAGACGTTTGGGCCACCACCAGGCGGCGACACCAGTGCCGTTGCACGCCGAAGATCTTTGGCGCCTTCAGCCAAATCGGGGTGCTGCTCACAAAAGGCGGCCGCTTGAAGCTGCAGCTCCTCCTGCACGGCCTGCAGCGCCGCCAAAGATGCCTGCCGCGCTGCCGCCGCTGCGGCGGCCCCACTGTGAAGAGTCGCCGCGCCTGCGCCGCCACCGATGCTTGCCTCCACTCCCTGCATGCAGCGCCAGCATTCCTCACGGACTGATAGCCCCCTTTCCATACAACACAAAGACAGCGCCCTCGAATTGTGCTTGCAACACAAACCTGTCGGGAGGTGCTGCTGATTTGCATGGAGCCGGACCGTGAGCCGTGAAAAGGGGTTTGGAAGACACTGCCAATCGCGAAGCCCGCAAACAACAGTCCTGCGGACAGCAGCGTCCGCTTGGCGCTAACGTGGCGAGGGGCGAACCGCATTGAAATTGCACTCATGGAGAAGAAGAAGATGTGACCAAACACGGGTGACTCAGGGGGAGAAACGGTGGCAGCGACTTTCCAGAGGAAGCCTGCCGCCACTCCCTCCCCACAGGAGGCTGTCAGGCTGGATCTGGAGGGTTCTGAGCTGTCGGCGGCGTCTGTGCATACAGTGATCGTCGTGATGTGCGAATCTGCACGTTGTAAGCGAGGGCACTGCGAACAAGGCGGCGAACCGCCGTCGCCGCCTGGCGGGGCGCAACGCCGCACCGCTCGAGAGCAGCGCGCGCTGTGGAAGTGACCAGGCCCGAGTGGGACACGGCGACAGGGAAGCAGGTGACCTGCCACCCCTGTTAGGGCTCCCCTGCTAATCGTTTCCAGGCTGGCCAGCATCGCATCTAGGCCACGTGGCACTTGCAATGATGCAAAGACCTGGCTGCAAATTCCAAATGGAGTCTGTTCATTTGGATGAAGGATCGGTGTGTCGATGCGTGCGCTGCGATTGGAAAACGTTCAGAGCTCTGCATTTTTGAAAGTTTGATGAAGGGTGTGCACCCTTGTTGCAGTCAGTGCAGTCAGTGTTACACCACTGCACAAACACAAATACGACTAAAGCCACTGCCTTGCATGACTTACATTGATTGAAGGAGGACTCGTGTGGCTGGGCCAGCACACCCTCGTGCACGGCTGAGGCCGGTGGATTACGCAATCTCATAAGCGAAAGATCAAGTTGCTGTCCATGGGAGGCACCGTAAACCTCCAGGAGCATTGAACAAATGAATCTCACACTCCCTCCCGGAAAGTTGAGCTCCTGTGACGAACCAGGCTTCGGCTGAGGCTCCCCGAAAACGCGCCGATGTTTATCGTCGATTTCAAGCTTCCCACCGAAGTGCCCATGGCGATTCCCACTGTGGGGGATGATGCAGTCGGCACCGCCACTGCCCCACTGGATGCTGCAGCAGGAGGTGGGTCCAGGAAGCGCGCGTTCATTGTGCTGTCGCCAGGGGGCAGCGCCGGAGCCTCAACTCCGATACAACAAACTGCCACTCACCCACGGGCGGCAGAGTGGGCTGCGCTGCCGTCTGCTCCGTGTCCTCGACGTAGTGGCCCTCCGCAATCTCCTCGGCCATCTCAGCCTCGTCGCCCTTGCCGTACACCACAGTGCCCGTCACGAGTACCACAAAGCTGCAAAGCGGCAGGGCAACAGCTTTATACCTGTCACCAGACCGCTGCTGGCAGGCTGAGGGCAATGGACAGCACCAGTCGGGGGGCTCACCCGGCCGCCTGGATCCAGCTGTACACGCTCCAGCTCTCGCCCAGCTTGCCCATGCCAAGAGGGGTGTAGAACAGTACCTGCACAGGAAACTTATATGGAGAGACCATGATTGCTGCCAGTGGCTAGGTAGACCACGAACCCTATGTGTTTGGCAGCCTGCAAGGCCCAACACGCACCAGGTCCACCAGCCAGACAAACAGGGTGCGCGTGGTCTCCAACACCGTCCTGCATCGAGCAAAAGCACACCTGCAGCTCAACACAAGGCACGCTGTGCGAGCAGCCACCCAAAGATGGTCCCAAATCTGGATGGTGCAAACAGCAAGAACCCAACCTACCTGAATACAGCCCCCAGGTGGCCGGTGACGCACATGCCCGAGACATTGTACATTAGCAGCGCAATGGCATCCACAATCAGCACGGTGGCAATCACGCTACTGTGCGTGATCATCTGCAGTGCGGGTGCTCAGGGACTACCATTCAAAGCGGCAAGAACTTGCAAATTTCAAGTGGCTGGAACAGGCCCGCAGGAAGAGGTGGGTCCGGCCGCAACTCCTGGCAGCAATCTCACATGCCAGGTATCCACAGAGTCCTCATGCAGGCCCTGACCATCCACGCCGGGCAGGCGCTGCAGATACACAAGCAACAGAAACAATGAGGGCGGCGGGTGGGAATGAGTCCGCTGGAATGCATCGGCCGTTGTGTTCTTGATGGCATCTTGACACCGCCAACACACCTGCACGATAGGCAGCACCAGCAGCAGCATGGCAGAGGCTCCCAGCACGCCCTCGTAGCCAACAATTTTCAGGGGCGGAATGGCCAGGTCAGCCATGAAGAAGTCTTCAAATGTGATTTGCGCGGCCTGCACGCACTGGCTGCAACATGCCATCCAAGGGAGGTTGTCGCATGCTGTGGAACTTGCTTGGCCTCATGCATGCTGCTCAAGTTGCCAATGCAACGTACC